AATTTTTGTATTTTTAGTAAAGACGTTGTTTCACCATGTTGGCCAGGCTGGTTTCGAACTCCTGATCTCAGGTGGTCCACCTGCCTCGGCCTCCCAAAGTGCCGGGATTACAGGCGTGATCTGCCATGCCAGACCCAATAGTGTCACAAGGAATATTAACAAGCCACAAATAGTCCTTCAGATACCAAATATTCATGGTCACTGAATATTCATGCTTCAATGCTTAGATGATGCTAAGTATTAATGATTCATTGAAAATCAATGGTTAATGAAAATTAGTGGCCGCTAAATATGCAGAAGGGGTTGTCTGCTCAGCGGAATCAGGGGCATTGGTGACTGCACTCTGGCCCTGTGTCCTCTGCCATCACTTCCAGGGGACAGTCAAGGTTGGGCCCTTACCCCAGGCGCAAGTGGCTCCAGGCACCTCTGTCGCCCTCAGCCCTCAACCCCGGTTTTTTTTATTTCCTGTTGCTCAGGCTGAAGTGCAATGGTGCAATCTCAGCTCACTGCAACTTCCACCGCCTGGTTTCAAGCAATCCTCCTGCCTCAGCCTCCCAAGTAGGTGGGATTACAAGTGAGCACCACCGTGCCTGGCTAATTTTTTTTTTTTTTTTTTTTTTTTGAGACGGAGTCTCACTCTGTCACTGAAGCTGGAGTGCAGTGGCACCATCTCAGCTCACTGGAAACTCCGCCTCCTGGGTTCAAGCAATTCTCTGCCTCAGCCTCCTGAGTAGCTGGGATTACAGGCACCCACCACCACCCCTGGCTAATTTTTGTATTTTTAGTAGAGTCGGGGTTTCACCATCTTGGCCAGGCTGGTCTTGAACCTCTGACATCATGATCCCCCTGCCTTGGCCTCCCAAAGTGTTGAGATTACAGGTGTGAGCCACCGCGCCTGGTCTCAACCCTGTTCTTGTCACTGTCTCTGAGAGACGTGGGGCATGTGAACATCATCAAGGACCCTGCTGGCACCCCCTGGGGCTCGATCTGTCCCCCCCTCACTCCCAGGACTATTCAGAGACAATGGGTGAAGGGGGGTGGCACAGGGGGGAGGGGATGTCCTGCCTGACACTGACTCGGAGGTCTCCATAGCATGAAGGTAATTCCCCTTGCGAAACTCCCATTTTCCAAATGAGGAAACCGAGGCCCAGAGAGGTCTGCTTCTGAACCCCTTGTCATGGACTCACAGGCCCAGATACCCCTAACTGGCCTGGTCACTGGCTCTGTCTCTGCCTTGCCTGTGGCTGGAAGGACTGGCTTGTGAGCTGATGTCCTCGAAGCAGCCATGGGGACTCCCGACAGCCCTTGAGGAAGGACATTCTGACTCAGCGACTGACCATGCACGGGACCTGGGCTGAGAAGCTGGGGCCACCCAGACCTCAGTATCCTCCTCTACAAAGCTGGGATGGAGGCAGAGCCACCGACTGCCAGCACTGTTGTGGTTGCCGCTTCTCCAGTTCTCACCAATCCTCAATTGGGATTTGGATGGAGGCGTGAAATATTCTGAGGCTTCCAAAAGGCGAGGCAAGGGGTGGAGGGTGGGGGAAGCTTCTGGAAGAATCCCGTTTGAATGCATAAGGACTTGACTCCTGGGAAAAGCCAGATGGTCAAGCGGTGGATGCACGCAGCGGCCTTTTCTCCAAGTGGCACATACGGGAAGTGCCGACAATGAGATTTTTTTTCTTGAGACGATCTCACTCTGTTGCCCAGGCTGGAGTGATGCCGCGTGTAATCGTAGTTCACTGCAGCCTCCAATTCCAGGGCTCAAGCGATCCTCCCGCCTCCACTTCCGGAGTAGCTAGGAACACAGGCATGCACCACCACGCCTGGCTAATTTCATTTTTGTAGAGATGGGTCTCGCTTTGTTGCCTGGGTTGGTCTCTAACTACTGGGCTCAGGTGATCCTCCCACCAGAGTCTCCCAAAGTGTTGGGTTTACAGGTATGAGCCACCTCGCCTAGCTACAGTGAGTGTTTGTTTTGGTTTTTTTTTTTGAGACAGATCTTCGCTCTGTCGCCCAGGCTGGAGTGCAGTGGTATAATCTTGGCTCACTGCAACCTCTGCCTCCAGGGTTCAAGCGATTCTCCTGTCTCAGCCTCCAGAGTAGCTGGGATTACAGGAGTGCGTCACCACACCCGGCTAACTTTTATATCTTCAGTAGAGACGGGGTTTCACCATGTCTCCCAGGCTGGTCTCGAACTCCTGACTTCAGGTGATCTGCCTGCCTTGGCCTCCCAAAGTGCTGAGATTACAGGCGTGAACCACTGCGTCCGGTCACAATGAGATTTAATAGCAGATGCTGTCACCCTTATCACCTGGATACTTGCGACGGCTCCAAGCAAGTGCTGAGCACCTAGTGTATACCACATCTGGGTCTAGGTTTCAAGGACAGAGCCCAGATGATGAAGAGAAACCCTTGTGTGCCTAGGACACCGTCACACTAACAGGGGACAGAGAAGTGGAAACAGGACAATTTTCCAGAGGAGTACACCCTCCAGGGGCGAAGAAACTCCAGGGTGGAAGTTGCGGACACTTACGGGAGGTGGTGTGAGCCCCTCGCCTGTGGAGGAACCCCAGGACTCTCATTGAGCCTTCCAGAGGGGAACCCAGGGTCCAAGTGGACGATCTGTACAGAGAGGATCCACAACTTTCCAAGGTCACACAGCAGACTGAGGCCAGGGCAGGTGGGTGGGATTTAAATCCTGACCTGCTGGCCCCAGAGGCTGGTTCCTCCCCACTTCTTACCAGTGTGGCCTCCCAGTAATGATGGGCTGGTCCCTTTTTACAAGGAGCAGGTGTTGCTTTTGCAAATACAGGGGGAGAAAATAAAAAACCCAGTAAACATAATTCCTTAGGTTTATGATGGCCGCCGGACCCTGCTTTAGCGAAACCATGTGTGTAGTGAGTTCTATGTCAACAATTACTCAATATTCACACCAGACAGTAGCTGGGTGTGGAAAAAAGGGTGGGGCGGGGCGGGGGGCTACATGCACTTTAGACCTTGGTGTGCTGGGTTTCTAGGTCCCCAGGCTTTGTGTGGGTGACTCATTCATTGTATGTCACCCTGCTGCAGGAACTGCCTGAGGCACCTGCGTGAGACCGGACAGGGGCCCTCAGTAAACACCAGCCCTGGTCCAGTGGCTCCTCAAAGGACATCCAGGCTCCCTCCATAGAGGGGGAAACTGAGGCTGGGGATGGCAGGCCGTGAATCGCAGTTCAACCTCAGACCCTTCCCACGATCCAGGAGTGATGGGAGCACTGAGATGTCATGGGCCCCTCCTCTAGGGACTTCCTGGACCCCCACACCCTCAGGCTGGTCAGGACTCTTTCCCAAGCCCTGTACTTAGAGCCTGGAAATATTCATGATCATATTTCTGTCATGCAAAGACACATTGTTGTCAACGAGAACACAATGAGGGACATAATCAGGACTACAGTCACTATGCCAGCTCCTGTGTGCAGCCTGGCCACCATCTGACCATCCAAACTCCGTACCTGTGCTGGGAAGCAGGGCTGCATTAGCCCCATTTTTATGGATAGGAAAACTGAGGCAGAGAGGTCTAGAACTATATCTAAGAAAGGTTGGGTGGGAGCCTAGTTCCTGCCTTTAACTCCCAGCTGATGAGACTTCCTTTAGTTTGCCATGTTGGTAGTGAGTTCCCCATCATGAGGAGCAATCAAGCCAAGTCAGATTCCCATCAGGAAGAGGGTCCACAATAGGCATCCTCCCTGGCTCATGGGGTTGGGAGAGCGAGCAAATCCCTGCCTTGCTCTGGGCCTCAGAGGCTGGTGGCAGGAGGAAACATCACTCAGGGAGGCCTTACTTTCTCCTCCTGGGCTGGCCCAGCTTGTCTGCATTCCCCGAACTCTGGCCTGGGGCAGAGAGGCTCCAATGTCCCCTTTGGTTCCCCCACACCCAGAGCACCTGGCAGAAACTGCTAGATGCTGAGAGTGTCCAGACTGGGCAAACACCCAGCTGCTCACCTAGGCCAGGAGGGGGCCCAACTGCTTGACTTGGGGGCCACACCTCTTCCTCCTGACTCCAAGCCCCGATACCAGCGCTGCCTGGTGTCATCTTGAGAACAGGGCAGTGAGAGGAAGTGACGGCCCCCAGGGCTGGCCCCAGACCTAGACAGCCAGGTGACTGCCCCTGGGCCCTGAGTACCAAGTCTAGACTGCAGGAGGCCCTGGCCCGAGCTGAGGGGTCCCTCAGTTTTCCCTGGAGAAATATCCATTTAAAAAAAATCAGGGCTGGGCGGCTCATGCCCGAAATCCCAGCACTTTGGGAGACCAAGGCAGGAGGATTGCTTGGATCCAGGAGTTTGAGACCAGCCTGGACAATATAGTGAGACCCCATCTCTATAAACAAAAGCTTTTTTAATTAGCTGAGTGTGGTGTGCACCAGTAATTAGCTGCTTGGGAGGCTGAAGTGGGAGGATCACTTGAATCCAGGAGGTGGAGGTTACAGTGAGCCAAGATCGTGCCACTGCACTCCAGCCTGGGTGACAGAGTCAGATTCTGTCTCAAAAAAAAAAAAAAAAAAAAAAAGAAAAGACAAAAAGAAGGGGGTGCAGAGCGTAAAAAGAAAAGGAAAAAAATATATATATACATATAATTATGATGACAATTGACTGTCCCTGGGCACCCACTGAGGGACCACAGCTCTTACCACTCAACTCATCCTCACCGAGTTCCCATGTCCCGAGACCCCCCCTTGACACATAGGGAAACTGAGGCTCGGAGACCAAACGTCACTCACCCAAGGGCCCCCAGTGGCCAGCAGCACACCCCATCACAAAAACTTCCTTTGACTGAACGCTTCGGGCATCCTCATCTCAGCTGGGTCATTGTCCCACCTCACGGAGGGGAAACTGAGGCCGGTTCAGAGGCCAAGAGCAACGTGTCCGCGCCACGCAGCCGGGGGCCCTGGCATGCCGCCCAGCACCTGGCAGGGCCCGCAGCACCGGAGCCGCGGGGAGAGGCTGGGGGTCGGCTGCAGGTCCCAGACGCACAGCCGGGGACCCCAGTGCCGGCTCGCCCAGACCCTCCCAACCAAGGCGCCAACAATCCCAACAAGCAGGCAACCGTCCCAGCAACAGCCAGGCGGCCCGAGCGGCCCCCGCCCCGGGGGTCTGATCCCGCTCAACCCTGGGAGCTGCGGGGGGCCCCGGGGGGCCAGGCGTGGGGGAGGCCTCCTCGCAGACCCAGGTCCGAGCTGGCCTGGGGAACGCCGGAGACAATTAGGGCTGGGTGAGGGCAAGCAGGCTGCTGGGACTCGGGGCTCCTGAATGTCCCCACATCGGCAGGGGCTTCGCCAGAGCCCCCACTCTCCGGCCCCCAAACCCCCATCCCGGGGTCCGTCAGATCCTGCGGAGGCTGCAAACACTCACCCCCAGACCACGGTCCCGCCTCTGCCCCTGTGCCGGCTCCTCTCCGCCCAGGAACGAAGACAGTCTCCACCTGAGCCAGAGCCCCCGCCCTCTCCAGTTCCCCCCTCCCACCGGGACTCGCTCCTTCCTGCCTCCCTCCGCCCCCGCCCCTCGCCAGGCCCCTGCTCCCAGCTGGGCTGCGTTTCCTGGTGGCCCAGGCCGGGTTCCCCGCCGGCTCCTCCCTCCCCGGCCACCCCCACCTTCCCCTCTCCGGGCCCCGCTCCAGCCTCTGCCATCCCCGCCTCTTGGCACCTTCGCCCCTCTCGGGGCGCACGACTCCACCCTGGGCCTGGCCCGCCGCTAGGGAATGAGCTCCCGGTGGCTGGAGATGATCAAGAGGCGCCTGGCAGGTTCCTGGCACAGAGCTCGGTCAGCGTCGGCCCAGGTACGTTGGGCGAAGAAATGCCTGGCTGAGGGCGTGGGGGACGGAGGGGGACAGGCTAAACCTTGTGGCTTTTCTGCTCCCTGCAAGGGGCTCAAAGATTCCGCAAGCCAAGGACAGGGCGCGGTGCTCACTCCTGCGTTTCGGGAGGCCGAGGGAGGCGGATCGCTTGAACTCAGGAGTTTGAGACCAGCCTGGGCAACATAGTGAGACCCCATTTCTATATTTAAAATAGTCCCAGGACCCAAAAACCTATGCTGTACTCCCTTCAGATGCCACCTGCTGGCATTTGGAAAGGTTCTGAAGTCGAAAATCAGATTTGTAGTGTTCTGTCTTTCCCTCTTTCTTTCTCTTTCTTCCTTCCTTTTTCTTTCCCTCTTTCTTTCTTTCTTTCTTTTTTTCCTTCCTTCCTTTCTCTCTCTCTCTCTCTCTTTCCTTCCTTCCTTCTTTCTTCCCTCTTTCTCTCCTTCTTTCCTTCCCTTCCTTCCTTCCTTCCTTCCTTCCTTCCTTTCTTTCCTTTCCCTTCCTTTTCTTTCCTTTCCTTTCCCTCTTTCTTTCTTTTTCCTTCTTTTCTTTCTTTCTTTTTTTTCTCTGTCTCTCTCTCTCTCTTTCTGGAAGTCAAACATCGGATTCGTAGTGTCCTTTCTCTTTTTTCTTTCTTTTGACAGGATCTCGCTTTGTCGTCCAGGCTGCTAGAGTGCAGTGGCACAATCTGGGCTCGCTACGCCGCCCGCCTCCCCGGTTCAAGCAACCCCCCCATCTCAGCCTCCTGAGTAGCTGGGACTACAGGCACCTGCCAGCACGCCCGGCTAATTTTTGTCATTTTTCTGGACATGGGGTTTTGTGAAGTCACCCAGGCTGGTCTCAAACTCCAGGCCTCAAGTGACCCACCTGCCTCAGCTTCCCAAAGTGCTGGAACTATAGCTGGGAGCCACTGCACCCGCCTCAGATTTGTAGATTTTTAGGGTTGGGGTTGGCTAGGATTCGAACCCTGCCCCTCACTGCCTCTGACTCTCTAGAAGATTCTAGCCTGGCCCCAGGGTCGGGAGCTCTGGGGTTGGGAAGCCCAGGTGTGTGAACTGGGCTATGGTTTTGGAAAACTCCTCCTTTCTCTTCCATCTCTGTTTCTTCCCGAGGAGGAAGCTGGGGTGTGTATGTGGCCTGGCTGTGCCTCAGTTTCCTCACCTGTAAAGTGTAGCAAATAGCTTCTGGGTCCTCTAGATGGGAGAGGTCTGGGGAGTGAACCCTCAGAGCAAATACATGATCAAACGTGTATGAAGGGGATTACAGCAAATTTTTTTTTTTTTAATTTTTGCAAGCCTACCTGAATGACCGGCAAATGTTACAGTATTAAATGTGACACTACCGGCCTTACTGCGATAAGATAATCACAGACTTTGATTCAGAGTCCATGTTCACTCTGTTGGGCCCCTGGGTCCCCCAAGCCATGGGCCCCACAAAGGGAGTTGTCTGCTGGGAAGAAGCCATAATAAAAGTTCTCACACGTGGGGAAACGGTTCAGTGTCCCTGGAGCAGGGCGGGGCTGGAGCTCACATCCTCCCAGCACCCTGAATTCTATTCTGGTTACACAACGTGACTCACACCTATAATCCCAGCACTTTAGAAGGCTGAGGTAGGGAGATCACGCCTATAATCCCAGCATCTTCCAAAGGCTGGGGTGAGCGGATCACCTGAGGTCAGGAGTCCAAGACCAGCCTAACCAACACGGCAAAACCCGTCTCTATGAAAGAATACAAGCCGGGCGTGGTGTTCACACCTGTAGTCCCAGCACTTTGGGGGGCCAAGGTGGGAGGATCACGAGGTCAAGGGATCGAGACCATCTTGACCAACGTGGTGAAACCCCGTCTCTACTAAAAAAATACAAAAAGTTAGCCAGGCATGGTGGCACGTGCCTGTAGTCCCAGCTTCTTGGGAGGCTGAGGTGGAAGAATCACTTGAACTGGGAGGTGGAGGTTGCAGTGAGCTGAGATTGCGCCACTACGCTACAGCCTGGTGATAGAGCGAGACTTCGTCTAAAAAAAAAAAAAAAAATATATATATATATATATATATATCAACCAGGCATACTGGTAGGCGCCTGTAATCCCAGCTGCTCAGGAGGCTGAAGCAGGAGAATCACTTGAACTGGGGTGGTAGCGGTTGCAGTGAGCTGAGATCACACTACTGCACTCCAGCCTGGGAGATACAGCAGCACTCTGTCTCAAAAAATAATAATAATAATAATTAGCCAGGCGTGGTGGTGCGCGCCTGTAACCCCAGCTACTCAGGAGGCTGAGGCAGGAGGATCGCTTGAACCCGGGAGGCGGAGGTTGCAGTGAGCCGAGATCGCACCACTGCACTCCAGCCTGGGCAACAGAGCGAGACTCTGTCTCAAAAATAAAAAGTACCATCCCGTGGCAGGGTCACTGCCCATCTCCTCCTCCACCAGGGATACCGGCCCTCTAGAATTCAGGGTGCTGGGAGGATGAGCTCCAGCCCCGCCCTGCCCATCCAGCGACACTGAACCGTTTTCCCACGTGTCAGACACGCAGACACCCTGAGCCCCCGGTCCTTTTAAACCAAGTGCTTCCTGGATTCACTGAGCGCAACAGAGTGATCTCTGGTCCCAGAGGTCTGGGTTCAAAACCCGGACTAGAATGACCCTACGATCCCACGACTGCACTCAGGAACCTACCCAAAGGAGCTGAAAACAGGGGTTCAAACAAAAGCTTGCACTGGGAAGTTCACAGCAGCACAATTCACAAAGCTCTTTTCCACTCCACCCAAGTGTCCAGTGGATGAATGGATAAATAACATGTGGTCCATCAATGAAGTCTTGAGTCTTTTTTTTTTCAAGATGGAGTTTTGCTCTGTCGCCCAGGCTGGAGTGCAGTGGCATGATCTCGGCTCACTGCAACCTCCGCCTCCTGGGTTCAAGCAATTCTCCTGCCTCAGCCTCCCAAGTAGCTGGGATTACAGATGCCTGCCACCAGGGCCGACTACTTTTTGTATTTTTAGTAGAGATGGGGTTTCACCATGTTGCCCAGGCTGGTCTTGAACTCCTGACCTCAAGCAATCCACCTGCCTCAGCCTCCCAGAGTGCTGGGTTTACAGGTGTGAGCCGCCGTGCCCTGACTGGAGTCTTATTCAGCCATCAGAAAGACTGAAGTCCTGGCTAGGCGCAGTGGCTCATGCCTGTAATCCCAGCACTTTGGGAGGCCGAGGCAGGCAGATCACTTGAGGTCACGAGTTTGAGACCAGCCTGGCCAACATGGTGAAACCCCATCTTTACTAAAGAATACAAAAATTAGCCTGGCATGGTGGTGCACACCTGTAATCCCCGTGACTCAGGAGGCGAGGCAGGAGAGCTGCCTGAACCCAGGAGGTGGAGGTTACAGTGAGCCAAGATCGTGCCACTGCACTCCAGCCTGGGTGACAGAGCAAGACTCTGTCTCAAAAAAAGAGATTGAACTGATGCATGCCACAACGAGAGTGAAACTCAAACACACGTTGCTGAGTTGAAGACACAAAAGGCCATGTATAGTGTGATTCCATTGCTATGAAACGCGCAGACCAGGCAAATCCACAGAGACAGGAAGCAGATTAGTGGTTGCCAGGTGCTGCCAAAAGGGAAATGGGGAGTGGCTGGGGGCTTCCTTTGCAGGAGGATGAAAATATTCTGGAATTGGATCAAGGGCTTGGGTGCACAGTATTGTGAAGGTACTGAAAACTCACTGAATCATTCACCTTAAAGTGGTTCATTTTTTGTTATCTGAATTTCACCTCAATTTAAAAAAAATCCAGTTGGGCTACTTACCAGCTGACGGTGGCCTCTGACTCGTGACCCAACTGATAGCGCTGTTGCCAATGAATCACTATGTGCCACAGCTGAGGTTTTAAGGTCCCTCAGGGGGAAGAGACCAGGGCACGTAAACTGCACAATGGTACCACGCCAGCCCGGGTTGGCAGGTTTAACGGGTTTCACACCCTCCCTCTCTCTTTGAATTCACCCTCCTGAGATAGGTCATTTCACACCTGCTCTGGAAGGCTGGGCAGTCAGGAGGCCACACCTGGGCAAAGTGCCTTCTGCACTTCTTTGTTTGCTTGGTTTCGACATGGAGTCTCGCTCTGTCGCCCAGGCTGGAGGGCAGTGGCTCGATCTCGGCTCACTGCCACCTTTGCCTCCCGGGTTCAAGCGATCTCCTGCCTTAGCCTCCCAAATAGCTGAGATTCCAGCCACGTGCCACCAAGCCCAGCTAATGTTTGTATTCTTAGTAGAGACAGGGTTTCACCATGTTGGCCAGGCTGGTCTCAAACTCTTGACTTCATGATCTACCCGCCTCGGCCTCCCAAAGTGCTGGAATTACAGGTGTGAGCCACTGTGCTTGGCAATTTTTGTTTTGTTTTTTTGAGATGGAGTCTCACTCTGCAGCCTACACTGGAGTGCAGTGGCATGTTCTCGGCTCACTGCAACCTCCGCCTACCAGGTTCCAGTGATTCTCCTGCCTCAGCCTCCTGAGTAGCTGGGATTATAGGCACCTGCCACCACATCTGGCTAATTATTGTATTTTTAGTAGAGACGGGGTTTCACCATGTTGACCAGGCTGGTCTTGAACCCCTGACCTGAAGTGATGCACTTCCCTCGGCCTCCCAGAGTGCTGGGATTACAGACGTGAGCCACCATGCCTGGCCCAGACTTCGATTTTGTCACCTCTGCAGCTCTCTCCCTGAGACCCAGGGCCCCACTGGGCAGGTGTGATCTCTGAATTTATAATCTAGGTGCTGAGGCCCACCAGGGAGAGGACTGGAAGGGCTGCGAAGTCCCTGGGTACCATTTGTACCCAGATGGCGCAGGTGCCGTAGCAGCCTCTGCCCTCATTTGATGTCCTGAGTCCTATAATCACCTTTTCTTCCTATAGCTGATTTTTTTGTTTTCTTTTTTTTGAGGCAGGGTCTCACTCTGTCCCCCAGGCTGGAGTGCAATGGCGCAATCTCGGCTCACCGCAACCTCCACCTCCCAGGCTCAAGCGATTCTCCTGCCTCAGCCTCCTGAGTAGCTGGGATTACAGGCACGCACCAGTACCGCCCTGCTAATTTTTGTATTTTTAGTGCAGCTGGGGTTCCACCATGTTGGCCAGGCTGGTCTTGAACTCCTGACCTCAGATGATCCACCCAGCTCGCCCTCCCAAAGTGCTGGGATTACAGATATGAGCTACTGCACCCGGCCTGTGTTGTTTTAAGAGATGGGGTCTCACTGTGGTTACCCAGGTTGGAGTGCACCAGTGTGATCTTAGCTCACTGTAGCCTCAACCTCCTGGGCTCAATCGATCCTCCTGCCTCAGCCTCCCGAGCAGCTGGGACCACAGGCGTGAGCCACCACGGCTGGCCAATTTTTCTATTTTTGTCAGAACAGGAGTCTTGCTATGTTGCCCAGGCTGGTCTTGAACTCCTGGTCTCCTGGTCTTGAACTCCCGCCTTGGCCTCCCACAGTGCTGGGATTACCGGCGTGAGCCACAGTGCCCGGCTCTCAGCCAGTGTTGTGTACTTGCTCTGTGCCAGGGATGCTCCCTGAACCTCTCCCAGTGTCAGGATTCCTCCCATGTTACAGACAAGGAAACTGAGGCACCGCCAGATGCACTATCTCTTCAGAGGACAGGGTGGGAGGATCAGAGGGAGCACACAGCAGGTCTCATGCCAAACCCCACCTCCTACTTCCTTCCTTTGGAGCTTCTTCCAGTCTGGGCATGCTCCCTGGGGTCTTCCCAGCGTCAAGGTCAGGAACACGGGCCCCAGTTCCCTGCAGGTCCATCAGGACCCAAGACCGTCCACGGGCCTGAGACCTGCTCCCTGCTGCAGTCTGCTGTTACTACTTCTGTCCTGCCCTCCCCAGCGGGCCACTCTGGCACACCTGCACCAAGGTCCACCCTCCACCCGAGGCTCCCAACGCTGCCCGGTACTACTGGGGGTTTTGCCCTGTAGCTGGCACTCTTCTAAGTGTGTGACCTCCCACAGATACCCAGTGAGGTGAGATGCAGATGAGCAAACTGAGGCTCAAGTCACACAGCCAAGCAGCTCCTCACTCAGGCTTCCTGTCTCTACTGTCTGGCTTCCAAGAACATTGTTCTGCTCACAGCTCTCTCCCTGTTATGTGGTATACTGTAGGTACCCAATTAATGTTTGTAGGTTACTAATTGCTTCCTCACTGAGCTAACAACTTCCCATCACTTTGCTTGAGATGCCTGTTCCTAGCTTGCAAACTCCTACTCATACCTCAAAACCCCATTTATAATGCCCCCTCCTTAGGAAGTCTTCCTGACTGCTTGGGAAGACTCCTGGCACCCCTTTCTGGGCTCCCCTAGTCCTCCTTCCTCCCTCTAGCTCGTGGGGCTGGGGTGTCTGTGTCTGGTTCTTTCTCTCCCAGAATGGCCCCGTACAGGTTGAACACAGTGCAGGAAGGGAAGTGCATTAAGTGTATCGTATCCATCCTCCTTCTCTTCCTCCTGTCTCTGGCAACACAAAGGACACTTCCTGGAGCAGGAAAAGTTTTCCTTTTTTATTTTATTAGAAAATAAAGTGTTTATTCAAAGAACATTAAAAGGCCAGGACCTGCGTAGGGTTGGCATGAGGGGGAGGAGTGAATCTCAGGCTCAGCCAGGCTGGGCATGGGGCTCCTCTCCGCGGAGTCTGGGTCTCAAGAAGGCTGGGGTGGGAGGCCCCAGGGTCCCGCTGGAGGGCAAGGGGCGGTCAACCAGCACCAGGGCGCAGTGCAGAGCTGGGAGAGCAGCGTCTGCGGATTCAGCAGCTCACCAGGTACATCCCTGTGGGGGTGTGGCTGTGAGGGGAAGGGTGGGGAGGAGGGGTGCAGGACGGGGAGGGGCGGGGAGGAAGGGTGTGGGAGGAGGAGGGGCGCGAGGGGTGTGCGGGAGGGGGTCCCGTGCTCCCACCCTAGGATGCTTCAATCATCCTCGTCATCTTCAGAACACCCCGGTAACTCATTGTCCCTGCTGCCACTGGGCCCCAGGAGCCCCTTGATGGGGGCAGGGTGGGGCTGGAGGAGGGGGTGGCAGGGGGACTTTGAGCTCCCTGGCTTGGGTCCTTCCTTTCTTTCTTTTTTTTTTTTTTTCTGGAGACAGAGTTTCCCTCCAGTTGCCCAGGCTCGAGTGCAATGGCCCTCACCACAACCTCCACCTCCCAGGTTCACGCGATTCTCCTGACTCAGCCTCCCAAGTAGCTGGGATTACAGGCATGTGCCACCACACCCAGCTATTTTTTTCTATTTTTTTTTTTTTAGTAGAGGCGGGGTTTCTCCATGTTGGTCAGGATGGTCTCAAACTCATGACCTCAGGTGATCCACCCGCCTTGGCCTCCCAAAGTGATGGGATTACAGGCGTAAGCCACCTCACCGGGCCGGCTTGGGTCTTTTCCGGGACGTCTTCCAGAGGCCAGCCCAAGACACATGGGGCCCCGAATCCTTCCCCACCTATGTCCCCCATCTGCAGTCTCCTGGCCCCAACACGCACCTGTCCTTCCCAAGGATCCCCCCCGCCCCTCCCCGCCAGCCCAGGGCTTGCTTGCCCCCAGCCAGGTCCCGGCTCCTGGGGTCCCCTGGCAGCAGGGTTGGGGAGTACCTGTGGCGAACCTCCTCTTCACCAGCGACATGCGGTACCCACTGCCCACAAGCTCCAAGTCCACGCCCGACAGGGTGGCCCCCTCGCTGGTGAACTGCGCGGCCACGGGGCTGGGTGTGCTGGGCCCTGAGAGTGGTTCCCAGCTGGCAGAGAGGCGGCCAGAGCCTGGGGAGGCCTGCGGTCAGCTGTGCCCCGGCCCCAGCCCTAGGCCCAGCTGTGAACCAGGCTCCTCTTTGAAGCCTGAAGCCCTTTGTTCCATGGCCTTCATGTGCCTCATCAGATATCCCTTCCATCCCCTGCATCCGTCTCTCCCGGCATCACTGGGTTTTGTGTGGCTGGCAAGGGGGGCCATTCCTCAGGGCTTTTGCACCTGCTGTGTCTGCCCATCTGGCTTTTGGGACACCCTCACCTCTACCTTTATTTTTTTTTTTTTTGAAACGGAGTCTCACTCTGTCACCCAGGCTGGAGTGCAGTGGTATGATCTTGGCTCACTGCAACCTCTGCCTCCCAGGTTCGAGCAATTCTCCTGCCTCAGCCTCCTGAGTAGCTGGGATTACAGGTGCAGGCTAATTTTTGTATTTTTAGTAGAGACAGGGTTTCTCCATGTTGGCCAGGCTGGTCTCGAACTCCTGACCTCAGGCAATCCGCCCGCCTCAGCCTCCTAAAGTGCTGGGATTACAGGCGTGAGCCACCGCGCCTGGCCTAGCTTTTTTTTTTTTTTTTTTTTTTTTAGAGACAGGGTCTGGCTTTGTCGCCCAGGCTGAGGTGTAGTGGTGTGATCATAGGTCACTGCAGCCTCCAACTCCTGGGCTCACGTGAGCACTGCAGAGCGCCGGGTCACAGCCCAGACCACCCGCCCAGCCCTCCTCCATCCTGCTAAAGCCTTCCTCAGTGCCCGTGCCTGCCCCCAGTACACCCCCAATTCTACCTGACACAAATAAGTGCCACCCACCTGACAGCCGTCCCTCCCCCCGGGCCCTCAGGCACAATCGAAGCTCACCCCCTGCCTCAGACACATCTGGAAGCCTCCATGTGAGCCGCTTCTCCTCCAGGTTCCTGGCAGTGAGATAATCTCGGTCAGGGCTTCCCCAGAGAGGATGCTCAGAGCCCAGGGTCCCAGCTCCGCTGCCTCCTGGCTGTGTGACCCCAGCAAACCTTCTCCCCACTTCACCTCAATTTCCCCATCTGGGAAATGGGGGAGATACAGAACAGCCACAGAGCCACACGGCACTTTTATGTTTTTGTTTTTGAGATGGAGTCCCCCTCTGTCACCCAGGCTAGAGTGCAGTGGTGTGATCTCTGCTCACTGCAACCTCTGCCTCCCGGGTTCAAGCGATTCTCCTGCCTCAACATCCTGAGTAGCTGGGGTTACAGGCACGTGCCACCATGCCTGGCTAATTTTTTGTATTTTTAGTAGAAATGGGGTTTTGCCATATTAACCAGGCTGGTCTTGCACTCCTGACCTCAGGTAATCTGCCCACCTCGGCCTCCCAAAGTTCTGGGACTGCTGGTGACAGCCACCACACCTGGCCTAATATTTGTTTTTTAAGAGAGGGTTCTGGCCGGGCACAGCGGCTCACGCCTGTAATCCCAGTACTTTGGGAGGCCGAGGCCGGCGGATCACCTGAAGTCAGGAATTCGAGACCAGCCTGACTAACATGGAGAAACCCTGTCTCTACTAAAAATACAAAATTAGCTGGGAGTGGTGGCGCATGTCTGTAATCCCAGCTACGTGGGAGACTGAGGCAGGAGAATCGCTTGAACCCGGGAGGCGGAGGTTGCGGTGAGCTGAGATGGTGCCATTGCACTCCAGCCTGGGCAACAAGAGCGAAACTCCATCTCAAAAAAAAAAAAAAAAAAAAAAAAAGAGAGAGAGAGAGACGGTTGTCACCCAGGCTAACTCCCTGCAGCCTCAACTCCTGGGCTCAAGTGATCTTTTTGCCTTAGCCTCCCAAGTAGCTGAGACTACGGGAGCACACCACCATGCCTGACTACTTTTTAAAATATTTTTTGGAAGGCTGGGTGCAGTGGCTCATGCCTGTAATCCCAGTACAGTACTTTGGATTTGGGAGGCTGAGGTGGGTGGATCACCTGAGGTTAGGGGTTCAAGACCAGACTGGGCAACATGGTGAAACGCTGTCTCTACTAAAAAAACACAAAAATTAGCTGGGTGTGGTGGCAGGCACCTGTAATCCCAGCTACTCGGGAGGTGAATCACTTGAACCCAGGAGGTGGGGGTCGCAGTGAGCTGAGATCCCGCCGCTGCACTCCAGCCTGGGTGACAGAGCGAGACTCCATCTCAAAATAAATAAATTAATTAAATGAATAAAACTAAAATATTTTCTGTAGAGATGAGGTCTCACTATATTGTCCAGGCTGGTCTCCAACTCCTGGCCTTAAGTGATCCTCCCATCTCAGCCTCCCAAAGCATTGTGATTACAGGCAGGACCTACCACACCTGGCCCTCATAATATCACCCTCAGTGCTAAGCAGGGTGGAATCACCAGTGAAAGGTCAGGCCTAGAGTGCACCCTTTAACCGTCCTCAAGGGGAAGGTCTGGGCTTGTGGGGGAAACTGCTGAGTTTTCCTTGGCCTCCTGCATGCCCTCACCAGGTGGCGGCTGGCTGCAGGCGGACATTGGTCACAGGCTCCCCCACGGGCAGCAGGATCTGGACGTTCGTGAGTGGCGTGGGCACAGCCGTGGCACCGGGCCGGTAGCCATAGTCCACCGAGACCTGGGTGAGGGTGGCCCCACACTGCCAGTGGGCACTGAGCTGCAGAGGCACAGACTGGGGACCCGGGCGGGAGAACTAGGAGGAATCAGAACGGGAGAGAGCACGTGGCTTGGGCCATCTCGTCTTGCCACACACGCACTATTCAACCACCTTGACCCTGCGATGCACGCACAGCCCGCCCCAAGAGAGCCCAGTCACAGGGAGATTTGACGGATGAGAGGCTGTATTACACCAAGTTTCCAGCAGGGGGCAGGAGAGCGCGTCATTCTAAGACAAGTCTCCCAAGGAAGTTCAAGGGCAAGGTTCCCTGGCTGGGCCTCTTCTAGTTCACATAATGAAGGTATCTGCAACAGGGTCGCACGCCCTCCCACACTGACTCCTCCACCATTCGTTCTCAACCCACCCTGCCTACGCACTCCAGCTCATCGGCTCTCACAGGTTGGATATCTTGAGGTCAGGCGTTCGAGACCAGCTTGGCCAACATGCAGGCGCTTCCAAGTCGGCTGCTGGCTCACCCCATCCCCACTCCACCTCCTCCCAGCCCCACGAGGGTGGCGCACCTGGTACCGCAGCAGCACTACGTTGTAGTAGGAGGCGGTGGGGTTCTGCTCTGCCTGGCGCTGCAGGGCCTCGGTCAGAGCTGCCATGTTGAGCCAGAAGTCTTTGGTCTCAGGGTCACTCTGGGAGGGGTCACTGCAGAGACCCGGACTGATCACCCCAACCCTCGGGAGATGCCCTCCCAGGGCTCTCAACATTCAGACTACCCCAAGCACTTCCTAAAGGTGCCATTTCCTGGCCCACCAAAGCTCTACCTAGGTGGCAGTGGTGGGGGCAGTAAAGGAGGGATGGAAAACCAGGGTCAGAGAGGGCAAGTTGCTTGCCCCAGGCCACACAGCAAATCCAAGGAGGCCGCTTGGCACGGTAGCTCACACCTGTAATCCCTGCATTTTGGGAGGCCAAGGCGGGTGGATCACAAGGTTAGGAGTTTGAGACAGTCTGACCAACATGGTGAAACCCGCCTCTACTAAAAATACAAAAATTAGCTGGGTGTGGTGGCGCACGCCGGTAATCCCAGCTACTCAGGAGGCTGAGGCAGGAGAATTGCCTGAACCCGGGAGGTGGAGGTTGCAGTGAGCTGAGATCTCGCCATTGCACTCCAGCTGGGGCAACAGAGTGAGACTCTGTCTCAAAAATCCCAGGGGACAGAGAGGGAACTCAGAGCCCGGAAGCCCCTGACCCCCAGCAGCCTCTGAGGCCCGCTCCCACCGCCCATCCACAGTACCTGAAGAGCAGCTCGGCATTGGGCTGGAAGTGCTCTATAGGAGCCGTGTGTACAAGCCGGAAGCTGAGGACAGGCGGGGGCGGGGTCCCGCTGAACACACGCACGATGCCAGCAGGGAAGGTCATGGTCAGCTCCCCAGTGACTCGAGCCAGGCAGCTGGGGAGGGTGGAGGGACTGGGCATTGGCTTAGAGCTGTGCCTGGTGTCTCATCCTCCCCCTTCTCCTGGTTCCACTGCTGCCTGTGGCTCCCCAGACCCCTCAGATCTAGGATGGCCCAAAGGATGCCCCATGTCCTTCACCCCAGCGTCCTCCTCTTTTGTTCCTGCCTACACAGGAAGAATCCACCCTGGGCTGAAGGAGGCAGGAACATCTCCTTCCCTAGCTCTCTTTTCTCCTAGGCCACCAGGAAGCTCAAATTAAAATGTTCAGTTTTTTAGCTGTTGTCTGCTTGAGTTTTCGATCTGACACTCACCTCTTCTTCCTGGTTTGACTTTCAGATCTTTTTTGCTGAAGGCCATCCCAGTATATATCCTTGGCCCCTCTGCTTTTCCCTAACCCACCCTCTAACCCCCGTTACAGCGACTAACTAGTCTTGGTCTCTTCATCGAAATGTGCATGGCAGCCTCGAGTCTACAGTAATGCCTAGCCCTGCTCAAATGCCCTCCTATGGCCAGGCGTGGCAGCTCATGCCTGTAATCCCAGCACTTTGGGGAGGATGAGACAGGCTGATCACTTGAAGTCAGGAGTTCGAGACCAGCCCGGCCAACACGGTGAAACTGTCTCTACTAAAAATACAAAATTAGCTGGGCGTGTTGGTGGGCGCCTGTAATCTCAGCTACTTGGGAGGCTGAGGCAGGAGAATCACTTGAATCCAGGAGGCAGAGGTGGCAGTGCACCGAGATCACGCCACTGCACTCCAGCCTGAGCGACAGAGTGAGACCCTGTCTCAAAACAAATAAAAAATTAAAAAATTGAGTCAGGTGCGTTGGTGGGCACCTGTAGTTCCAGCTATGCGGGAGGCTGAGGAAGGAGAATCGCTTGAACCTGGAAGGCAGAGGTTGCAGTGAGCTGAGATTGCGCCACTGCACTCCAGCCTGGGCAACAAGAGCGAAAGTCCATCTCAAAAAAAAAAAAAAAAAAAAGGCCCTCCCTGGCTCCATTGCCCTTAGGACATGGACATGGGGGCTTGGCCACTTGGCTCAGTGTTCAAGGCCTTTCATCATAAGACAGGCCATGAAGCACATCTGAAAGCTGTCCCTGCTGCATGGCCCCCCAACACAGACCCCCCAGGGGCCCTGTCTGCCCATCACCGTGTACCTGGGGCTGTGGCCACGGAAGTAGGCGTGGACATACTCCGTGAAGGCTGTGGCTACCGGCAGGGCATCCTGGGAGCCCAGGACCACAGGGCTCGGACCCCGGGAGACTCCTAGGGGTGGCAGGGAAGGAATGGGGAACAGACAGATGGGGTGAAGACAGGCCTCAGGCTCAAGACCCCACCCCCACCTCGGCCCAGCCACACCTGTGCCAACAGAGAAGCTACCCACCCAAACCACAGAAGGTGAGACTGAGGCCCAAAGCAGGGCCCAGGCCCACCCTCACGTACCGTGTCCTGTCTGGGATGAGAAGCAGGGCCGTTCCGGGCCGGTGCTGGGAGCCGAAGAGCCCAGTGGGGAGGGGCTCAGGGAACGGGACTGGAAGGGAAAGAAACAAGCTGGGCCGGAGTTGCCCAGGAGCAGTGCCCAAAGCGGACCCCAGAGGCACCCACAGCCCAGCTCCTGCCATGCCCCTCACCTACCAGGTCCCCGTTGCTGCGTGTGAGAGGGCAGGACACCTTCCTAGAGCGGAGTCTCCTGGGTGGGGCTGCCAGGCCCTCCCTGGCTGTGGGGTCAGCAGGTGCAGGCATCAGGTCTGGGAGCGATTGCACAGAGGCACTGCTGAGATGCTGCCCAGGGCCTCTGAGGCCTTCCCAGGGGCACGAACTCAGCCAAAATCTAGGAGGCAGGCTTTTCTGTGGAGACCCCAGATGGTGCTGAAGTCCTGGGGCTGCTGAAAAGGCGCCAGACAGGACTGCAGATACCATCCATACCCCTGAACCTCCCAGACACCAGAATGGTGGCCGAATAAGGGGTGAGCTCCCCATCACTGGGGGTATGCAAGCAAGCACTGAAGGCTTAGGAGGCAGGCACGCTGTAGGGTTCAGCAGAGGATTTTTAGCCAGCATTCACCCATTCTGTGACCTCCACCCTCTCTGAGCGCCTGACCACAGCCACCTACAGTGGCCTGTGTCTGAGTTCCACAAGTTTATAACACCCAAGCTCCCCTCCCTCTCCTGCTTCCTCAGGGTCCTAGTTTTCTGTTCCATCTGTGAACAAGCTCACTTGCTTGCCTACCTCCTCTCCTACCTATCTCCCTGCACCCCAGGCTGTGCTCCTCCTCTACCCTACCTTCTCAGCACTGCGAACATTTGGGGGCTGAACCATTCTCGGGCGGTGGGGGCAGCCCTGTGCACTGCAGGGTGCTGAGCAGCAACCCCAGCCTCCACCCCCTGAAGCTGGGGGAGCACACCCCTGCCTGGTGGCAACAACCAAAAATGTCTCTAGATACTGACAATGCCCCCTGGGGACAGAACTGGCCGGGATGGATAAGAGCCTCTGCTCAGGCTGAGCATGGTGGGTCACACCTGCAATCCCAACACTTTGGGAGGCTGAGGCAAGCAGATCCCCTGAAGTCAGGAGTTCGAGACCAACCTGGCCAACCGGGTGAAACCCCGTCTCTACTAAAAATACAAAAATTAGTGGGTCGTGGTAGCGGGCGCCTGTAATCCCAGCTACTGGGGAGGCTGAGGCAGAAGCATCTCTTGAACCCGGGAAGGGGAGATTGCAGTGAGCCGAGATCGCACCACTGTACTCCAGCCTCGGCGACAAGAGCAAAACTCCGATTAAAAAAAAAAAAAGCTGCTTCTGCTGTCACTCTGTGGCCTTCACCCACCTCGGCTCTCCCTTGAACGGGCTCCAGCCAGGCCTTTTCCTATGGAGGGTGCCAAGCGCCCTTGTCGGCACTGCTGGGGACCTCAGATGGTCACAGCCCACCGTCCCTCTGACTCGGGGGCCTCCCACTCTCCTCACGCAGCCCCCAGGAGCCCACCCCGACGCTCTCCCACCACCTCCTGCTGTCCTCCTCCCTCCAGCCCTGCCCTCTCACTGGCTCTGTCCTCTCTTCTGCTCTCCCTGGGCGGCCGTGTTTTGATGACGTCTTCAAAGAGGGGTGCTCTGACCTGACCTGAC